TAACCATGCTGATGATTCTGGAATGAAGATCTGATTTGAAAAAAAATGTATTGCAGTTTCTTCTATATATCTCAGAATAACTATTCGACAGTGTTACCAACCGAAATTAAATGGCCATCTTCTTTAAGATGCAAATAGATTTTCTGCCTTTGATGTGAAATATAGTGTACAGAGTAATGTAGCTGTTGGCTATGATGGCCAGCACATGGAGTCTTTCCTCTGACCAGAAATGCGTATTTGTTTATTGTTGAACTGCTGTACAATCCATTCATCCTTAAAGATATCCTGGTGATATATAATACCCAGTGGATCTAACAGCATGATGGTTTTACATCTCAAGGTTGAACTGCAAATCATGTTCTCCTTCTGGGACCATAACTGTAGAGCAGTCTGCACATTTAAGCCATGACGGAGGACCTTGTGTTTTGGGGGTGGATAAGAGGAGGAGGAGAAATTCATGGCATTTGTTCACAAAAACAAACATGCTCAGCTTTTTCTCTGGGAGTGGGAAGGTCATGGATAATTGGTTCATCCCTACCTCTCCACCTCTCCATACTATTTGAGCATTGGCACTATGCTATGACATGAGCCACAACGAGACCTCCTGTTTGGGTACAGACACAGAATTCAAGAAAGTGTGTGATGGCTCTTTATTCCCATTTTGGCCTGAAGGCTCAGAGGCTCTGGACAAACTTAACAGGTTTTCCTCTGTCTCATGGGGCTGGCTGCTTCTTCCTCTCCTGTCCCCTCTGGGCTAACTCCTGTTTCTGGTGACATCTTCTCCACTCTGTATAGCCAGAGCATTTGCTTGCCAAGAAAGAATGAAGAAAAAGGCACAGGACTGATTGGTGAGGGAGAAGTGGAGACAAAAAACAGTCCCATCACTTGACAATTTTGATTAAAGATTATGCCTCCTCTTATGGGCTGGGATAAATCCATCTGTCTGGGCTACATTCTCACTATTCTCAGTTGTTAAAGAGGACAGGAGAAAGAGTTACAACCGGGGCTGGCTTAACATAATGGCAAAGAGGCTAAGTTATGAATTAAGATGTTTCTGGTTCAAATCTTGCCCCACCCTTATTTCATAAGGTAGATAGATCACCTCTTCAGCCTCAATCTCTCCATCTGCAATACTAGCTAAAATCCAGTAATTAGACAACACGACCAACTTAGCCAGGAGTATGTTGCAAGCTGTGTGTGGCACCACAAGCTAGAGTGCATTACCTCACTACCTAGCCAATGAGCCAATGTCCCCAAACTTGTATATTGGTATGGGAAGGGCAAGACAAATTTGTCTGCTTCAACATGTGGAACAAACAAACACTTCCACCATCCCTGGTAGACGATGCCCCATGGATAAGATTGCTTATCTCATACAGTGTTTCATTCAGTGGTACCCTATATTCAAAATCAGAGGCAGTGCTTCATTACCTGGTCTTATTGAGGGGGGGGGGAGAGCACATTCAAATACCAGTGGAAAAGGAGGAACATAGTAAGACAGAAGACCAAGAGGGAACAAAGAAAGGAATGGAGGTCAACCAAAATTAAAAGCAGGTGAGTCAACCAGAATTCCTCCTCACCTGACTGGCTGGTGCTGACATTGATGGAGGCATACTGGGGTGCATCTGGACTCAGCTCCGTCACGAGGTTGACTGCCTGAATCTCAAAGGTATATTGTACACGGGCCAGGAGGTTGGAAACTTGTACGCGGCTCTCTGTCAATCCCACCTGACGTGGCTCAAACTGGACACTGTCTCCACAACGCACACAAGGCCCTGGAGACCCAGTTGGGCACACCTTGCAGATGACATTAAAGAAGACGTCCTTTCGGCCTCCTAGGTCTTTTGGGAGGCGCCAGGTCAGGAGAACGTTGGAGCCAATAATTTCGTAGCTGAGGTCACGAGGTGCTGAGGGGGTACCTAAGAGAAAGCAGAGACTGCAATCTTAAAGAACTGAGGTGATAGACAGAGCAGAACAGAAGTGAGCAAAAGGAGGAGACCATGGTTGGGCAAACTCTGACACTGCCTGGATCTGGAACAAAAAAACAGAGACAAAGCAAAACTAAGGAGCACAGGTTGGTATGGCTCCTAGGACATTTCAACTAAACATTTTATCAAACTTTTCAGACTCTACAACATAGATTCTTTAACTTGTGGTCCATGGACCCTCAGGGGTCCATGATGTCCTCACAGGGGATCTGTGAAGGCTTGAAGGAATGTTATGATCTTTTGAAGTTAAGTAAGTAAGTAAGTAAGTAAGTAAGTAAGTAAGTAAGTAAGTAAGGAAGGAAGGAAGGAAGGAAGGAAAATATGGCTTTTGTAGCCTACCACCTCCATTTAAAACAAAGTAAAAATCAGTTAGAAAAATAACTGTTTGATAGCAAACAATTGTTTGATATTTCTGTACATGGTAAGAACATTCTAGTGAATGAAGCTGAATGGCTGAGAGATAGCACATGACATTTCTTGCTATGGCACAGACAGAAGCTGTGGGAAGAGAGAGTTGGAGTCAGTGTCCGTGTGAGTGAGAGTGTTTGACTTCATGATCATTTTCCTTCCTCAATTTTTGCTAATAAAAAACATTTGGTTATTGTTTGAGTAAAGTGACTTTTTGGTGTTAGTGCAGAGAATTTCATAACAATACATTTTGGCTGAGCTGCAGAATGTATCGCTGAAATATAAAAGAAGTGATGCTGTTGATGAGGGTGGATCCTGCTTCAAAGTAAAATGAAGCTTCTTCCAGTCATCTGAAAAAGTGTTGCAAGGAATATCTGTCGATGAGACCATTCACAAGAAACTTTAGATAAATATTTTACATACTTTAGGATTTTAAATATTGAGTTAAGTCTTGGTGGTCCGCAGCAACAAAACGTATTTAAAGAGGTCTGTGGTAAAGAAAATGTTAACCACTGCTTGGAAGGAACAAGAAACACAACAAATAAAAACAAAACAAAAAAGTTGTACAGGTTGGTATAATTTTCAGTGCATTTCAGTGCGACTCTTCATCAAAATATTTTGTAGTCCTCAACACAGATGACTCGGAACAAAATGTCATGCCACAGCACACTAAAGCAAGAGTTGCCCAGAGTGAAGAACTGGAGTCTTCCCAGATTGTATTCGGAGAACAAAGATGGTGGCTCCTGGCCAACAAGAGGATGCCTGTTTCAACAATCAATGATAACACCTCATTATCTGTGGGCCCCTTTCATCTCCTTCCTCAGACCTACCATGCATCCCTCACCCATTTTGCACATGGGTTAGCAAAAACTAAAGGGAGAGACAGTTCAGATCAACCACCACTGAAATGAAATCTATATACTGATATATTTCCGGGGACAAAGATGGAAGATGTGCCGTCGCTTTCATTTCCTCCTTATGAAATTAGCCACATTGGAAACAATATGCCGGACAATAGAAACCTTCATATCACCTAGCTAGGCAATTCTGAAGACACAGTAATTTAACATTTGTGTTTGACTCAGCAGTTCAGGCTTATTTGCTTTGGAAAGACAGTCAAAATATCAGGCTGCAATGTTCCCTCTAATGTTCATGCCTGCTGCGTGGGAGTCTTGCCCGACTGTGCATAGGTGGGCGGGGCAGGGTTTCATCTGGAACCCTGAAGTAAACAGGTATCAACACCGACGGTTGCTGTGCGGTGCCAATGGAGCTCTGCACATGCGCACCTCAGAGGGAATGTTGTCAGGCAGCCTTCAGAGAAAACTCTGGCAGCAACACATTTCATGGTGTCAGGCAGGTAAAACTGTAAGCTGTGCTTCAAACATGGCGGTCAAACACTTTGTCTCCAGATAATTTTTAAAAGGAGACAAACAACCCACAAAGTGAAGCGGAAACTTCTGCATTAAGAGAAGAGTCAGCTGCTGGGCTGGCTTTTGCTCAGAGTTCTGACTTCTATATAAAACAACTTCTCATGTATCAGTGATTGAGTGCATTGCAAAGGAACAAGTTTGGAAAGACCAGCCTAAGAACTGGGCTACAGCTGACTGAGACTAGGCAGGAAGAAGCGATGGAAGGACGAGGCAGTATGCGGAGCAGGGGTTGCCAGCTTTGGGTCCCCAGATGTTCCTAGACTACAACTCCCCAGAAAATCCTGGCCAGCAGAGCTGGTCGTGAAGACTTCTGGGAGTTTTCATCCAAGAACATCTGGGATACCCAAGACGAGGAACCACTGACATAGAGGAAAGAAGACGAATGGAAGGGGTTAAGAAGGAAACGGAAGGAAAGGAAGAAAGGACAGATTCAGCTTTGGGGTGCAGGAGAGAAAAGGAACGCAAGATGGTCAAGAGGAGGATTCAAGAAGGAGGAACCAAGGGAAAGAGAAGTTAGCCAAACCCATTTAATGGCATTTATTCCCAGGTACTTACCTGTACACGGGGCATCAGAGGTATCTGAAGAGGAGCGGTAGTATCGGGTGAGGCAAGCACATTCACTGGAACCTGGGGCTGAAGAATAGCTGTGAGCTGGGCAGGGGCTGCAGGGGGCATCTCCTACTAATGCCTTGAATGTGCCCATGGTGCAAGCTGAAGATTAAAAAGGGACAGAAATGGGAGGAAATCTGTTAAACCACATTAAGTCCACAACCACCTTTTTATGTGTAGGTTCTTTTTCCCAGTATACAATGAACATTGTTGCCCCCATAATGAACGGGTCATGAGACAGAACAGGACAGGGAAAAAATCACTAAATAAAGAGGATCTGCAGTTGGTGGGTCATGGCACTCAAAAGGAGAACTTGACTTAAAGTGTCCCAGAGCTTAGAGAAAGATTGATACACAGTGCCAGGGAAGAAAAGGAGTGAAGAACAGATCCAAAAAGCAGAGTCAAAGTAAAAGTGATTGTGTTAGATAAACTATAAAAACCGGATCCCAGGTTGCATGTTGTGATTGAACCCTAGATCTGTAAAAGTCGGATCTGCCTGCCCTGAAATGTGATCTTCTTCCAGCTGAAATAAATACACAGAGCCATAAAAATTACAGCCTGCGGTTTAATCTTTACCACTAAGAGGATCAAGACAAGGTGGTAGCACAGCCCAAAAGCAGATGTGAAATGTTCCCCCCACATGTTTCAAGCCAAAAAATATTCTAAAAAGGTCTTTTTAGTCCACCTTAAATACTATCGATATGAGGAGGAGGGTGCACCTGAATTTACTGCCTTTTGCCCTACACTTAGATGTTTTACACCGAAATGCCCACCTGACCTTTTGACGCAGCTGGCCCATGCCTGACCTGAAACCAGAGGTTTCTAGTTTTTGCTTATCAGGAGAGGTTTATGGGATGTTAAGACAGAGTTTCATCCATGTGTACAAGGCCCCATTGTCTGTTGTAAGCAAAGTTTACTTTGGTTAAGGAAACTGTTTGCTAAAGGAAGCATTCCACAAACTGTTCTGTAAAGAGGAACATGGTAATGAAGAAATCTAAGAGTTTTCTGTCCTCGCATCGTGTACTGAGCAAAGATCTGTCTGGAAAGAAACAATGTAAAGCTGCTCAAATCCCATGCAATGAGGCTTTCAGCTAGTTAAATAGTTGAATAACCTACTACTCTTCAAATTAATATGTAAAGATGCTGATAAACAGAAAGCATTGTTCAGGGCTCCGGCTAAAGAACGCACAGTCTTTATTACTTGAGAATGATTGTCCTTTGAGAATGTTTTTGTTTTCTGAAAGCCCATGTGGGCAATTAATGTGTAACCTGAAAGCTTACTTATCTATTTCAACCAGGACATAAAAGCTCATGAGCAAAACAAGGGAAAATCTGAACTATATTTTTCAGCCAACCAAGCTTTATCTAATCACTGGGAGTTTCACTACTCACAAATTTTCTCACGTTTAGTGAAAAAGCATGCCTTGAAACATCAAACTTACAAACTGCTGTGAGATTTGTTTGCTGCTTCTGCACGACAGCAAAAATCCCAACAGTACTTTTTAAAATCAGAACATTAGCAAAAATAGGGGCAGAGAGTTTATCAATAAACCTTCTGTATTTCATCTTAAAATCAGTTGTAACACGTATGCTTTTTGAACACTAAAACATCTCTGAATTTTTCACCAAAACAAAAGCCTGGAAATGCGAAAAATGTACCAATGCTCTTACAGCATCACTCTGAGGAGAGAAAACCAGTTAATTTTTTCACCCTCGCCTTTACAAATGAAATAGGAGAAGATTTACATCTTGACAACTCAGCTGCCTATGAGCAGGCACGTCAAGATGGAGGAGTGACTCTCTGGGTTAAGGGTTGGACAGCCATCAATCATACAAGATGGTGAGAACACTCCCTCCTTTTCTGACAATCTGTATCAATATAAAGCATGCACCCAACATCTGTGTACAGCTATATGTCCAACCACATCCACATCGGCATATCTTACGCACATGCAAAAAGCAAGGCAAAGTGTGCTGCTTATATACTGCCCCATAGCGCTTAAAGCACTCTCTGCGTGGTTTACAAGTGCAGGCTACACATTGCACACACACCCCCAAGCTGGGTACTAATTTTAGTAACTATGGAAAGATAGAAGGCTGAGTCAACCTTGAGCCGGCTACTTGGGATTGAACCCCAGGTCGTGAGCACAGTTTTAGCTGCAGTACAACAATTTAACCACTGCATCACAAGGCTCCTACATGTAAGATTTGAACACTGCCAGTCCTTTCTAAAATAAGAACAGGAGTACAGAGAACACACTTTTATGTCCAGATAAACAAACAAACAAATAAGTCACAAATTCTCTCTGTACTAGTTGTGCCTCCAAGCCCGTGGCCCTTATTTCCAGATCCACTCTTCCTGCTTGGTCTTTGAGTAATGTCCCACTGAGCTCAATGTAGGTTGCTTCTAGAGATGTGAGGCCGAATTGCAAACTCAAAGTTTCCATCTGCCCTCAAGGAGACACTCATTAGGCCTGTGGCAAACCCAGACCTACTGGGATCTGCCACACGTTAACTAAGCTGCCACCAACCATTCCCTATAAGAAGTCACACAGACCAGGGATGGATTTTCAACAAATAAAAGAACAAGGTTTATTTAAATCACACACAGGG